ACAAGAAAAAGAGAAGAAAACGCTGTTGAAGCAAAACCAGCCGAAAAAGTTTGTGAATATGAGGCGCCTGACTCAAGAGGAACTCCTGGCGGAAGCCAAAATAACAGAGGAAGAAAATGTTGCTTCCCTACAAGCTTATCAGCAGTTAGAAGCGGACAAGAAGAAGACCAAAATACAGAAAGTAGCTTTCAAAGGTCCTGTTATCCGCTTCCACTCGCTGTCAATGCCAGTCTTGGAAGTTACAGAGCCGGTGGTGAAAGTTGATGACAATGAGGATGATGAAGTTAATGTAGATGCAACCAAGCGATGCTGCAGAAATTTTCTGATTTTTACTGATGCAAAGAATTTTCCTGCTGCATATTTCCCAACCAAAAAACCTAAAGTTCCTCACAAGACTTATTGTCCTGTCACAGGATTACCAGCCAGATATCACGATCCTATAACAGGCCTACCTTATGCCAATGCACATGCATTCAGATACATAAGAGAACGGTATGCTCTACAGGCTGAAGAAATGAAAGCAAAAGCATCAGAAATTGAACAAAGGCGTAGTCGGAAACCTCAGTAACTATATACGAGCCTGTGATATTTGTGTTGTCACTAATACAACTAAACCAATGTTCGCAGGTGGCGTTACATGTACGAGAGCTTTCCCAGCCAGCCTTATGTTGTTTAAAGTAGACCACTGTATTTTTATGGCAAGTGTTTGCACCACCACATCTGTACCTTTGTAAATAATGATGGGTAGTTTCTGTCATTACAAATTCAAGAGAACTGTTGTTGACCAAGCTTGATCAGCACCTTTTGTTTTCTTATCATAACACCCCCACCCCTACCCCAGCAGTTATCAGCATCAAGTTTTTCCTAGTTAAGCCAAAGCTTTTGAATAATATTACTGAGAAGCTTTGGACCAGAAAAAATATCTGCATAAACCTGGTTCTCATATACCACCAAGCTACCTGCGACATAATACACTGTAGGCAGTATTGCCAGCAATACTGTTCTGATAATTATGAGAAAAAAAGTTATCAGCACAAAGAAAAGCACCTATAACGAGTCTATAATGAATGGGATGCCTGCAAAGTTGACTCAAGTTAAACATGGCATGCATGCTGGGCAATTAAGACCTGCAATGTTTCTTGTTACTAGCAGTGTGTGCTCTCGCTCTTATATTGAAACAGGTCGCAGGTAGGTTGGCAGCATAGGCATGAGGTCCTTGCTTAATGGAAGTTAATAATATGATATTTTAAGAGCAATACTGTTCAATTTCATGGAGTTAAAGAACCTTACAAATCACACAACTCTGTCTCTAGAACATTTTTGAGCTGGATCGGTTCTACCATAATTACTATTGTCAACAAAATTTCAAGAAAACAACATATCAAAATTTGTGAAATGGCATTGGTAGTATGATCATTGCTGTAGGGATTAAAACATTAATATGTACATCTACAATGATCTGAAGTTGTTTTATGTTTTGTGTTATCAACTTTATTGGACTGAGTCTCTCTAAATAAATAGTTACAGTAATGAAAAAAAAAAAGAGAGACCAAAAGGTAAGGTGCAAACGGGACCTGGAGTTGCATGCAGGGCAACTCCCAACTAAATCAGTAGAAATCTTAAGAAGTGCATATTAAACTACTGTTGCCAGTGACACCCATAATTAGGTGCAAGACCCCATGAACCTGGTTTATTGGGGTCAAAGACATTTCCTAATTCATCTTTGTACAAGTTAGTTATACTATTCTTATAGAAAGTCACTGGGCTGAATTAATTTACATATTTGGTTCCATAATTCAATACTGCGATTAAAAAAGGAGGACTGATACATAGCTGATTTACAGAAGGGCGTCTCCAAATACTTTATATCACTTGATTGAGATCGTCGGGTATGGCCGCGACTAACACTTTTAATAAAACTAATATCAATGTCAATATAGCCATATAAGGCGTTATAAAGAAATACTAAATCCTTGACGTCATGGTCATAGGTAAGTGGTAGCAGAACCAGATGGATCAATCTCCCTTTGTAGGACAGTTCTCCTTGCTTGATTTGTAGAATCCAACGTGTAGCTCTTCTCTGAACTCTTTCAGCTTTCTTCTTTAAAGTTGAGTGGCTGGGAGACCACACTTCAGTTGCATAGCTCATTTGGGACTTCACAAGTGCCAGGTACAAGGATCTTCTCACCTTGACGTCGGTCAGCATGGGACAGGTGCAACAAAGAAGACCGAGTAGCTTATTCGCTTTAGCAGTAACCATGAGAACTTGAGTTTCCCATGTAAATTTGCTTGTTATCATGACACCGGGATCTTTCTTTTCATTCACGTGTTGGTAGTCACAGCGCACTGGAAATTTCCTCCCTGTCACTGATAAGACCTTGCACTTTGATGTGTTGAAATTAATATTATTGTGAAGACTCCAGGAATCCAGGTTTGTTAGTGCTTGCTGCAATTTATCTGCACCTAGATATGATAAGATACTTCTATACAGCTTGGTGTCGTCTGCTTAAAGGGCTGTCAGGGTACCATCAGGCAAGGCACTTGGCAGGTCGTTGGTAAAGATGATAAAGAGTATATGGCCAAGCAGACTTCCTTGAGGCACTGCGGAGGTTACAGGGGCCCAACTGGAGGTAAATCCATTTACAATTACTCTTTGCTGACGGTCCTCCAGATAGTTCTTGAACCAATCATGTAAATGTCCAGCTACTCCATATCTCTCAAGCTTCTCAAGGAGGATGGCATGGTCCACAGAATCAAATGCTTTGGCAAAGTCCAGATACAGGATATCTGTTTGAATGTTGTTTTCGAAGTTTTTTCCCATAAAATGTAAGACTGACAGTAACTGAGAAACACAAGAGCAATCTTACTTCGTTGTTTAACTCTTAAAGTTTTTCCCAGTTTGTTAACTTCAATGAACTGCCAACAAAGTTGATATGAGCAGCGTTAGACTGTTACTGGACAATCTCCAAGATGAATGTGGGTTTATTCATCAAATGTCCTGGCACACTTTGAATTGGGAACAGTGCAATACAAAAACCCGTACAGTGAACTGGGGAAAATTTAGCCAAGTGCTTTGTCTTTGGTAATACTCGAAAGGTTTTGGAATAGGGGGAAAAAAACACCTATTTGGTTGTTTTGCAGTTATTGGATGAGGCTGCTGTTCTTGCTATGATTTTAGGCAGAAATTCAGCTATTTCCTCTTTATAAACCGTGTGAAATTTTTCATCATTTTCCCCTGCTCTAACTAAAGAGCTGTGCTCACGCAACCTCATTCCCAGGGATTCTCGACCGCCATCCTGTGCTATTGACGTCATTTTATCGAACATAACAAACATCTTCCCAATTTGGTCAACGTTAAGTTGCCAACATTGTAACGAACAAATGGCCGAGGAGCTTTTGTGACTCTGCCGGCTAATGATTACCCAGTTTCTTTTATCAAATCTAACTTGACCAGCAAAGTAATTGACCGAATTTTGACCCCCGTTCCGCTTTTGGACTAATACAAACTTACAGTGCACGCCCTGCGATTGAAGTGAACGGCGTGCTGTTCCACCTGTTTAAGATTCCAACTACTCAGAGATTGGTAGATAAGAAACTTAAAAGCCCCTGTTTTCTCGTTCGTACTCATGACTCGATCATAGTTTTGGTTTAAGGCCGGAGCGCGAAAGCTGGTTGGGGCGTGAACCGGGGCCTTTCAACTTGAACCGAGAAAAAAAGAAACTTGGTCCGTAACTTACAAATACAGACTGAGAAAACAAGACTAAAAAGAGAATTTCAACAACCCTCATTCACGCTCTCTGACCTCGGAAATTATCAGTTTACTAACCACCTTCCTTTGTAGCAGGTGCGCAAATGGAACATTTCTTTTATTTTTCCTTGTAAAAAGCTAAAATCTCAAATTATCGAACAAACACCGGTAAAAACGTTTGAACTCTGAAAAAGTCCCATCCTTAGTTTATTGGATAAAAAGATAGTCATTAAATTTGCCTATTAAATGAAGCACCAACAATCGTGGAGTTAAATACTGCACGACAGACACATCAGTAATAAAACTGGTAGTTTAAGAAAATATATCTTATTTCTCTGACTTCCCGAAACAGGCTTCCCTGAGTTCTTTCTTTCAAAAATAAGTAACTAAACTTTATTTTCTAGCCAAGAAGACGTCATTTCTTTACTCCTACGCAAATGAACATCTTAAAGTCAAAGCGAATTGCTGGCTTATGACAGAAAAGCCAGTGCGAGCAACAAAATTCGAGTAAATATATACGTAACCAGCGACTAGAACGGAAAGACGTACCCATATCGGAACGTCATGATTCAGATCTGATTGGCATTCTGATTCTCATGAGGCATGAGGTGACAGAGCCCTTCTCTTTTGTCGCATGTTGCTGCATGCATGATACAGTAATGACCAATAACTCTGTTGTCGAGAACGATTCGATTCAGGGTTGAGACACGAGGCAAGTTTTTTCAGCCAATCAGCGATGGAACCAATCTCTACTGACTCTTACCGTACCTGGTGCTAAGCCCACCGAATCACTGGCTACAAACGGCCAGATCTTGGTAATCCTAAAAACAAGACGATTAAGCTACAAGTTGTTTCTCAGATCTTTGCAAAGTTTTGATGACGGAATTATACGCTAAGACATATAGAAAATTCCTGACTCAAAAGAGCTCGCAACATCTTCGCAATGTAAACAGCGTTGTATGCCGCGTTCTGAAGTTGGCAACTTTCGAAAGGGATTTCCAGTTGTTTGAGAATCTCTTCCATACTGTTTTCTTTTCTAGACTCATAAAACAGAGCAGAATGAATTGATAGAGTGTCAATTGTCTCCTTGACCTCGGCGTCCACTCCTTGCTTTCTAAGGAAATCTTGCACACCCTTTGAAGACATTGAATGTGTAACCAGAAAATCTACTCTTGAAATATCCTTTTGCAACTTTAACAAAAAGTCTTTGAGGATCAAAACTTTTGTGCTTTCGTTTGAGGAAGTACATTCATCTTGAGTTTGTTGTAGATTGTTATTATTTACCACATGTAAATCTGCCTTTGAACGGTGACAATAGTGATATGATTCTTCACAGTCCTGACTTTCAAGTGAGAAAACCACACATCCAATTTGCCGTATTTGGTTTGGGTCATACTCAGAGATATTCGCGCTAAAAGCTAAAAATGACGGTTGTTTTAATGACATAACGTCACTGATCCTCTCCAACACGTACACTCCATTGACATGCCTTTGTCGAAAAATGGCACGATTTTTACTGCGAAGTTGTTCAGCGAAAAGGGTGAATTCCTTTAAAGATGTGAAAATTCTCATGATTTGAGGGGTTTTCCTCGATACCATAATTGGAGAAACCTCTGACAGTTGGTCTGCTAGCTCAGTGGCCTTCTCCACTTTTTCCTTCAAAAAGCAATGAGCCTTAAAATCAAGAAAGATTCTGGCACAATGGTCTACACCATAGGCTATCACAAAAATGATGTCTTTCAAATGACGGTTGAGAGAGAATTTGAAGTAGTATTTGATTCGCTCATGGTACTGTCTGCCCTTATTCTGACAATCGCGAATCCAGGTTTCTCTTACTGTCTCGAAGCTGTACAAGTATCTGGGGCAGTTTTCACACATCTTAGACAATGGTGCAAGTCCTATGTCCTCCTTTAGACGCCTTCGACGACTCATGTTGTTCTAGCAAAGCCTCGGAAATTTGCTATCTGAATAAGGAAAATGAGAACAAATCTTTCAGCAAAATAATCTTTGACTCCAAAAGAAACTTATTTGCGTAGCTGTAACTTCTACACAAGTAGTTCCTGATTTAGTATAAGTTTATTACATGCAATAAACAGCGAGAGGCTTTTGTGAATTTTTAAAAGACTTAATTTATAGGGGTAACACAATTACCGGCAATCCAGTAGTTGAATCCTGGCTCATAAATAAGGACAGGAAAAAAAACTAGTTTGAATTATTTCACACTGTACTCAAAACCTGTATTTGCAAAGAGCCTGCAATTAATTTTGGAAATTAGCGCAGCCTACCGGATATGTTAGCTGACTGATCGGCATGTTGCCAGCGCAATGCATGATACTAGGATCAACAAAGTGTGTTCCGTGCGACGGTGTACTTGTCTTTACGTTTTTTTTTTTTTATCATTGTCATAACAATGTAAAATAATACAATTATTAGATTCGTTCTTTGTGATATCCTTACTGATTAAACTCTCGGTAAATGAACACCTCTATTAAGCGGTCACCTAATGGCTATTTCGTTCCCGAGAGTCACCGCTAGAAGGACTGTATTCAAACCTTATCTGCCTTAAACCGAGCAAGGCATTAACGGGAAAGATAAAAAATGTAGAGACATCATTAAATTTTTGTTTTTTAAAGGCGCAAAACTATATCACCGCGTTTGTCATGGTTGGTAAAGTAGATTCAACAATATTCTCCCGTGGTACAGTTTAGAACCACCTCGTACAGAGTTCTAACGTTTCACTGAGTCTGTCACTGTGACGATACAAATAAAATCTACTGAGCAGTTATTTCCTGTGGAACTGTATGCTGGTGTAAAGTGCATGTAACCAGTTGCAAGTGCGGGTCAAAGTACGAGCCAAATGGAAGAAGGCGTCGGCGTCATCAATTCTTGACTGTTCAACCATGTTTCAAGATGCTAATATGGCGAACTATCCAGCAGTTATTCCTTTTTATAAAAGCAGTTTTTTTTAAGTTTCTGAAGTTTTAACGAAAGAAAACGGTTGAAGATTGCTCAGAATAAACGCTAAACAGACTAAGTTTTCTCCTGTTGCGCACTCATCAGCGTGATTCAATTAGTGACTTGAAATGAAACTCTGCTATTCTGCTCTGGCTTGAACTTTAAAAAATCGATTTAACAATATATTGGCCTTTGTCTAGACATCCCACAAAGAGAACACTTGATATATTTGTAATTGTTTTTGTTTGTTTATTCTACCAAAGCGCATTTTGAGAACAAGTGAGCTCGTCGACACGAGTTGGTTCTTGACGGGTAAAAGTTTATGATTATAGTTCAGTGTTGCTCGGTCAAGTAAAACGGTTATTACACTAAGTAATGTGTAAAATTACGCTACCAATAATGGCATATTTTTAAATCAACTGAACTATGCATTTACTGTGCATATTTCTGTGCATATTTGTACATGGCTTAATATAAAACTCTTCTTACCTGTAAGAACGAAAGGGTTAATTCATTTGCTTTATGGCTTATGACTCAATCTTGTTGTCAACCCAAGCAAACTTATTTGACTTTCAAAGTATATTCCATTGTTTTGTTTAATTGTTGTTACTTAATATCACGATTAGTTTTTTCCTTTGTTTGAGAGCACTTCATAATACATTGAATAAAGGGGTGCCTGTTTGGCAGTCTTGTTTCCAAGGCGATCTCTTCCATTTTATATCACTAAATGATAGTCAAGAAGATAAAGGACTTCAGCGAATTGCACAGCTAGGCCGGAGAAATAAACTAAACTAGGTTTTAAGTCAAGAACCGTCGTTAAACGCCCTCATTCAATTGAAGAAACTCTTGCTATATACCAAACTGGTTTTTCCCTTTCTAGTCTAGAAATAACTGTATATGAAATAAACTTGTTTTAGCACTGGTTGAATTCACGATCTTATCTTTCAGGAGCAAAATAAAGTATAAACAGAGGAACCTCGTGTATAAAAACGAATCCCCGGTATAAGACGAGAAAAATATCTGAAGGGAACAATTTGAATTTACAGTGTGCCCAGGCTTTCGCTTTCGTGTTAATCGTATTTTCGATTAAGTAGTGTGTGTAAAAAAAAGACTCGAAGAAAAAAACCTTCAAAGAACCGGTTTACCAGAAATACATCATTTTTAAACACTGTTTGCTTTGGCCTTGTATTTTTCTCAATATCTTGAACGATCGACACCAAGAGGTCATAATATTATGGCACTTGTCGACACTGAATGTTTTATGATTTATAACGATAATTTCATTGGTATTTTTAACAAATCAACGGCAGGAAAAGGGCAAAAAACATAGACAAAGCGTGTCTGGTAACAAACAAAAGATGAAATAGTAAAACCTTTAACTAACGAATTAACTTATGCCATCGTTCCATCATATGTGAAGTAATCTAAGACCCAAATAGCTTATAACTCAACTGTCCCCTCTTCAGGGGATAGGAGATATATAGGTATATTTTTATCCCCTAAAAATTTTTTATCTGTTCGGATTTTCTAGCTGAAAGTCTAGTGATCCGAAAATTATAGGGATCAAAACTTACCATTTCGAAACTTTCAGCCAGAAAAAAGGCTCCCGAAAATCCTAGGTGACCTTTTTAGGGTAAAAATCCCCTAAAAATGGGGCATTATACAATTTTTTAGATGTTAGGAAATCCTAGGAGAGGTAGGAAAGCAAGAAATTTTACAAAAATGTTCCGAATATTCTAGATCTCAAATCGTCTTCCGAACAGATATTTTCCGAAAATTGACGTTGGGTGCCCCTGCCTCTTGCTCTGGTGCTAGTTTATGCAACTAAGTGCGGATTTCTTGCTGGGAAATGTATATTATCCTGATCATGGCAACAATTATTATGTTGTGTTGGTATACAGCTGTACAGTCGACTTCCGATAACTCGAACCTTCAAGGAAAATCGAAAAAAGTTCGAGTTATCAGGCGCTCAAAGCAAGAAATAAGGGAATAAGGGAATAAGGGAAAAACCAGTTTTTACTGTACAGTGAACATTTTAACCACATTTAATTGTAGAAACGTTAAGTGAAATTGAAAGATACTTCTAGATTATAAATCAGTCAGAATCTAACGTAAAAACCATAGCCTAAATAGAGCATGCGTTTTACTGTTCTGAATAGTATTAAAAGCTGTTTCATGTTAGATTTGTGACAAACAACATCAGCTTCCACTAGTAAACTATATGCCTACAACACTGAAAGGGAAATTCAAACTCAACGTTTCGGACGAAGGTACCTTTTTTTTTCTGACTTTTTTAAGCGCTCAAAACATGGTTCGAGTTATCGAGGGTAAATTTATATAGAAATGATCTGAGGGGAAACAAAAAATTATTTCGAGTTAGCGGGAGGTTCGTGTTACCGAGGGCAAAATTACATTAAATGTATGAAGGAAATCCAGGGAAAATCGATTTTGGTCCGAGTTAGCGGGAGGTTCGAGTAAGCGAGGGTTCGAGTTATCGGGAGTCAACTGTACTCATCCAGAGCCTATTTGTAGCATTTGATTATTATGATCGTTGGGAAAAAATACAACTCCGGCTCATAGCGAACTCTTCTCGTAAGCGAACCCCTCCGGTAAGCGACCACTTTGTCATGTGCACCAAAGGTGGTCACTTGGAGAGAGTTTGAATAAAAAATTCCAGTTTCATATATTTTCATTAAAAAATTTTTCTGGCTTTCTTTTCAAATATCACGCAAAATTTTATGTAACAATATGTGGCTTTATTAAGTTCAGTTGTAATACCAAATTAACATCCAATTGCGATTTGTCTGTTCCTTTCAAGTAACTAAAGCTGTTAAATTTCAATTATATTTGAACAAAAACAAGGATTTGACGTACCTGTTTCGCCGGATTTTAAAGATCTGTCGGAGAAATCGGTCCAACGCATGGAATTATAAAAAGGAGAAAGCCAATGTGATATAAGTCAGCCGATTTTTTTCGACATTATATTATTCAGTTTTATGCTGGCGCTCAGAGTTCAAACCGAAAGTTAAAACTCTAGTATAAACTCTTTGCTGATTCTTGGAAAATTAAACAAAATTACCCTATCAGATTGAAACATGCTATAGATGTCATAGATAGATCAGTTTTATGTTAAAAAGCCCTATGACTGATAAAAGCAATATCTGCAGCCTTGAGTGTTTGATGTCATTATGGGAAAGAAATTATACCTACTAGTTGTATTTTTACTTACATGAATGCATGTTGTGATGTGTCACTGATCGAGTTTGAAAACAAATTTTGACTTCTCGCCGCAGGAAAATATGATCGTAGAGAAAACCATAGCGAAAGCCTTTGAAGAATCAAATCTTCTGAACATCTACGCTGGATACATTTTGCATAAGATAACCGAGTGTTTACTATTTATGCTGGTTGTTTCTCTGCCGATTCTTAGATCCACTTTAGTTTTGTCAATAACAGTGCGAAAACGACGGTCATCAGCTTACTTCAGTGACTAATATAAAATAAAAATGTTATATCATGTTTTCTAATATGCATCGTAATGAGCATATTTTGACTTTATAATTTGCAAGAACTAATTATTTCGAAGACCAAAAATTCTTCAATTAAACTCTCTGCGGGTTGAAACGTATTTTTTTTATGTGCAGTTTATAAGGGAGCAAAAACTCTTTTAGGGATAAGATTTTAAAATTACGTCCCATCTTGTTAATAAAGAAAAGGATGGGAAAGCGAGAGCAAGCTTTCATCGTAGTTTTATATTTGGCCGTTGTACTGCAGGGAAATCAACCACAACAAAATTCACAAGTCAAAACACCCTGAAGCTTGAAAAGAACGTAACGCTTTGAATTATTAATCAGCTATGGTGAATACAGAATAAAATTATGTTTTAGGACAATGCTAATATAATCAATTTGGATTATACTCTGTGAGAAAATTAAAGATAACAAAATATTTTTTGAGGTGCTATGTACCTACTAATCCACGAAATTTGCTTCTCTTTGTATTTCTAAAGCAAATGGCTAAAATTTAATTGAACAACAGGTATTTTAGGTTAAAGAAAGGCTAACATTGATCAAGTTTCAGCCAGCAATTGGCTGTGGCGGTTTTCAACAGACAAAATAAGGCAGGCACAATTGGTTATGCCAAGTTTGATATGGACAATAGCCAATATCGTATTCTTGACAAACCCACTCTTCTGAGCGAACAGCGCACGTGTACAAATGTACAATTAAAGTCGTATCTGCCAGATCAATGTACCAAACAGGAAAAAAAAAAAGAAAGAAAAAATAAGCCAATTTGAAATGCATTTTAAGCAAGCAGTGCTAATATTCGTCACTATCGTAACTTTAACGCAACTTGTGCATTGTTAATACAATTAGTGCGTCGTTTTATATCTTAATCTCCAGTGATAACTGGGCCGGCATTCACCTTTTTTCACCTAGACAATAATGCACCTTGTTTTATCCCCAAACATTTTGCATAAGCATTGTTTTATTACAGTCATGTCAAGAGAAATCGAAGACAATGCTTATACAAAATTTTGGGGGAAAACAAGGTGCATAAAGGTGTATGTGCTAATGGTTAATTGCTTACATGTATTCTGGTTTCAGTGGCATGAAGCAGGAGTTTGTCTCACCCAACGGATGGGATACTTGTTACTCGTAGGGTCCGGTTCCCCAGCAGTATGTCTCCGGTTCTCATTTTAACACACCTGGCTGACCAAGAACGACAAAGTGGAGAAAAGATTCTTCTTCCCTAACGGAAAACAATACGCGGTACGACGATGAGGCGGCCCAACCTAAAAACCCTAAGTTCGAGGTGTTAACAGCTAGGCCACCACGCTTCCGCAATTACATCAAGTGTTAGGTACCAGTAAATAAATAAATATATTTTGAAAGAAGGAGAAATCTAACAGAAATTAAAAATTGTTACATTTTGAATTAAAAAACAACGACAATGTAAGTTGCATAATTACAAACTGCTATACGGTATGTAAACAAAGTATTGTAGTGTTGAAAACGCCACTTATAATTTTGTATAATTTTGATTTGTCAATTAATTAAAATAACTTTTAAAAAAGAGACAGAAGCAAGAAAAATAAAATAAAATGAAATGAAATATATAATTGATTATTTTCAACTATTCTTAAAGTAGCATGTATTATGGCCGGACACAAATTTGACTCTCATTCCGAAGCGCTGATGAGGATGAAACTAATAAATAAAATAAATAAAATATTTATAAAATAGTTAGTAAAATTCATTAGATGTATACGGATAAATTTTCATGTTATAGTCTAGTCGTAGTAACGAGGCTTTAGGTTCTATTTGGTAAAGAACATATCTGTTACAGACGAACAGCTTGCGAATTGCTGGTGGGAAATTCTAATGAAAAGTGAGCTTCATCTTAAATTTTGTTACAGTTGCAGAGACCGGGTGCAGAGACTACATTCGAGGTGCCTTCCGTTGGGGACCATCAGCGGGTATCATTATTCTTGGTTTTCAAGTGACGTCACAAAAATCCAAACTCCAGAATCGTAAGAACTTTTAAGGTTTTATCTCCATCTAGCAAAAGATCTCTTTAAAAGAAACTTCTGTGCAAGTTTTCAACCGGGGATGAATAGCGTTTTCCGTTTTGAAAATATAGCTTTTTCTAATTTTCCAAGTTTCATTCCGCGTGACTTAATAGGGCCATTTATACGAGGAAAAATAAGACGCGTCTTAAATAAGAGCGAACTGTACCATTTATACGAGCATGTCTTATCTAATAAGACGCGTCTTAGCTAAGCCGCGTCTTATTTTAGACGAAATGTGCCGTTTATACGGAAAGTTCGCGTCTTATTTAAGACGCGTCTTATTTTTCCTCGTATAAATGGCCCTAATACAGTCCGGAATATCCCTAAATTTAAGGACAGGGCCAACTGGTCACGCGACACTTTTCAACCAATGAGAAGGCGCGCTTGTGTTTATCAACAAACAAATCAAAACATCGCCGCAGTGATCAAATATTTTCAAAACAGCGGACGGAGTAGGACAGAATCAGTCATCGTTTCGAGGCTCTCAGGCATATTTTTAAGACTTTTCATGAGGCATACACAATTTTTTTAAGTGCACAGCGTATCGGAAGCCATATTGGAAGTGTCTCGGGAAATATTCAGCACATTTTGTGGCGTCTTCCTTCTTTTAAACAACGCAATGTATGGGCGAGATTTTGGTCGGTTATCAAGGTAGGTGAACAAGTATCTGTTATTTTTTCGATTCAGAGAGTTTTTTTTCGAAGTTCTAGATATTTTTCCTCGATTGTCATATCGATTAACTTTTATCATGTTGAATGTGGGGATGGTAGACAACCTAGAATTTTGGTAGACCAGTTTTGAATTCCGAGGTTTAAAACACGTACGTTTTCCATTCCCGGATTTCTCACGGAGCCGTGTTATTACTTTTTTTCGCTTTAGTACGAGCCTTTGTCTATTTTCTTTTCAAGGCCAAAACAACTTTATTAGTCTTATGGATATTCACGTTCATCATCTCGCCTCACTTTGCCGAATTTGTGGGCATGAAATTGAAGATCATCAACCTCGTCCCCAGGGTCTTCTCGTTTTCCAATATGGCGGCGGAAGGAGAGAAGACCCTGGCACACAGCGAACTAAAACGGTCGCTGAATGGTGCATTCCACTACGCGTTCATACGTGCGCTCTCATTGGTTTATTCCTTACAAAACAAAGATGGTTACCTTTTGAGGGCTTCGTAGAGGCTTAGAAGTGCTTTCTTCAGTGTTTGAGACCTAAAAGGTGGACAGAATTCAGATCTGATTGTTCGGAAAACTGTGACTGTACCGTTGGAAGGCAAAGATTCGAATATAGTGATATCTGAAATGGTAATCGCTGGGAATATTATAACGCGTAGAGGTATTTCAGTTGCTCGTGCTATTTGGTTTTTGTGTTCTAAATTACTAAAGATTTGTTTCTTTAATTCCCGATTTGTCAAAGAATACTTGCAAGGCTTCAGCTTATCAATAAATTTAGCTGTCCGTTTGTAAAGGTTTAGTATTGTTCTGCCTTTTGTTTTCTTTGAACAAAAGCTGTATGCATAATACTATTATTATTGATGTATGGGGCTATACGGAAATCTTGCATAATCTGCGCTTTGTCTCAGCAGTTTTTTCATCCTCGGAGACCCAGGGGCAGTCAGTCGGGTCGGGAGAAAATGCGCGACGAAAGTTTTCAAGTACAGGCGATAGAGCCCCTGGGTACCGACTCTCACCGGACCATTTCCAAAAATTCAAGCGGATGCCGGCTCCTGATTGGGCACAAAAAATGCTTTGTATTATTGTGCCCAATCGGCGAACAGTTTCTCCTGAGTTCTTTTCGTGAGTTCGTACACAACGGCTATTATCTCGCCACACTTGCCCGGTTCGTTCACCAAGCTTGTGCGTGCAAGGGAAACGTTTATTTTCTACTTTCCTAACAAGAAACGAAGGAACTACCGATGAGTCGAAGAAGCGTTTGGGATGCTATCAGCAGGAGCAATTGAATTTGGCCCGAATATTCTGTTTTTGACGGATCACAATGTATTTTAAGATGCGGAGGCGACGAGAAAGTCAAATAAGCAATAGCTTGACAAGGTAAAACAACAACTTTGCACGTGCATCACGCTTTTTTGTACATTTCTTTGCCGTCCACTGCACGACTACCTGTGAAAATGCCTAATTTCACGTTTGCGATGGACGCAAACAAGCAATGACAAAATTCATTCTCTTCATGAACTTGCATATGGTTGAAAGAAATTCGGCTCCAGAAGAGTTCGCTTGCATTTGACAAAGTAAGCGAGTTGGAATAATCAAGATAGAGACTGAAAAAATATGAATTCACTTTTCCATGCGACGTTTCCGTCGTGGTATCTTTTTAAAAAGCTCTCTATAAATATATTTACGCAAGAAGTGGCCGATACAAGGGCGAATACCTGTTGTTACCTGAAGTTTGTATTTTCGGAAAAGCGCCTTTAGTTTTCGGGCAGACAGTATTTTGAAATCAGATGGGGGTTTTATATCAAACTGAAAGTTTCCTGACTGCGTGCATTTCTTTGGTGCATGAGCCAGACAAGCCGTGATCGAGACAATAACTGTCGTGTACGAACACACGAAAAGAACTCAGGAGCTGTGCTCGCCGATTGGGCACAATAATACAAAGCATTTTTTGTGCCCAATCAGGAGCCGGCATCCGCTTGAATTTTTGGAAATGGTCCGGTGAGAGTCGGTACCCAGGGGCTCTTCCGCTTTTACTTGAAAACTTTCGTCGCGCA